CACCAATTCTTGTTAGCAATCCTGAAGGCCAACAAGCAGCTGTTAAACCATATGTGATGGCTTCCCCCCTCAATCTATGGGGGAGGAATTGCTTGTCGCAATGGGGGGTAAAGATTACTACAGATTTTTAACAGGGCCGTTGTTCTGCAGGGTGTTAAACGGCCCACACTGGAATTAACCTGGTTAACAACTGACCCCATGTGGGTAGATTAGTGGCCCCTGCCAATTGAAAAGTTAAAGGCCCTGCAAGAATTGGTACGAGAACTGTTGGTTGCTGGTCACACTGAACCCTCTCAGAGCCCCTGGAACACTCCTGTATTTGTAATCAAAAAGAAATCAGGTAAATCGAGGTTTCTACATGATGTGTGGCAAGTTAATGCTGTTATGGCCACGATGAGGGCTCTGCAACCAGGTATGCCCCCACCTGCCATGATCCCCCACAATTGGGAAATAATAGTTATAGACTTGAAAGACTGTTTCTTTACAATACCGTTAGCTTCTCAGGACAAAGAAAAATTTGCATTTTCTGTGCCTTCTGTTAATCATGCAGAACCTGCACAAAGATACCACTGGAAGGTGTTGCCGCAGGGCATGAAAAATTCTCTGACAATATGCCAATGGTTCGTGGCACAAGCATTGTCACCTGTACGGGAAAAATTTCCCACCAGTTATTGTTATCATTATATGGATGACATTTTGTTAGCATTAAACAGCAAGGAGCAGTTGAGTGACATGGAAAATTTGACTAGAGACTCATTGCAACAATATGGATTAATTATTGCCCCTGAAAAAGATAGAACCCTGGAAATATTTGGGGATGACAGTTACGAACAAGCAGGTTATGCCCCAACCTGTGAAACTTGACCTCGAGGTTAAAACACTCAATGATGTACAGAAATTAATGGGATCCTTGAATTGGATCAGACCTTATCTCGAACTGACCAATTGACAGCTGCAACTGTTGCTGGAATTGTTAAGGAATTTCAATGATCCAACAGAACCCAGAACATTAAATAAGGAAGCATTAAGTGCAATTAATATTGTGGAGCAATCCATACACAATAAGTTTGTTTCTCTAATAGGTCTGTCTCAATTGGTGCAATTCTTTGTACTAATTGACAAAACTGTGCCATTTGGTGCCTTGGTGCAGTGGAATCCTGAGTGGAGTGACCCCTTACACATTTTAGAATGGATGTTTTTATCATTCAGACCATGGAAAACTGCTTCTGGATTATTTGAGTTAATTGCTGATGGGATCATAAAAGCTAGAAAACGCTGTTTGGAGTTAACAGGGCGTGATCCAGCTACAATTGTTTTACCTGTTCAGAACTGGTATTTTGAGTGGTGCCTTGCAAACCAGTATGAGTTACAAGTGGCCTTAGCGGACTTTCAGGGACAAGTGTCTTATCATCTTCCATCACACCCGCTATTGAAATTCACTCAAGAAATACCATTTGGTCAGAAACACTTGAGCCAGCTAGAACCTGTTAAAGGTCTTACTGTATTCACAGACAGATCAGGAAAAACTGGTAAAGCAGCAGTGGTGTGGTATGAAAATAATGTCTGGAATAACAAAGTTGTTTACCAGAAAGGTTCTCCACAAATCGTTGAACTGTGTGCAATGACTCTTGTTTTTTTCTACCTTTCCTACTCCTATAAATATTGTAACTGATTCGGCTTATGTGGCTAACAGTTTCTCAACTGTTAGTAGTCTTAACTTTGTCGGACAATCAAATGTTATTTGAGGTTTTGTGTTGGAGAATGGCTTGCAGAGAACAAGGCCATAGCTCCCTGCAGAAGCTGATTGCAGCCATCTGAGGTAAACAAAGGAAAAAACCCAGGGTACAGTTATGCTAACAAAGGACTGTTATGTTAACAAAGAGAGAAACTGAGGTACACAACGGCTTTGAGTGTGATGGTAAACAACCTTGGGAAAGAAGGCAGACCAGAAGAAGGAAGATGTGACATGCCTGAAGTGCTGCGGGGGGCTGGGATATTATAATGTAGCCTTTTACATGTATCCAATAGATTTGTGAGTAGTATGCATGATTATTGTAGAGTGCTTATATAAGGTGTGATTTCTTTCAATAAAGTTGAAGCTTGCTGTATCATTCACATTGAATCGGCTGCTTGCTTCCTCCG